AATTAGTGCCGGAGGTAAATTTAGGTCTAAATGGTATGACACCACGTGATTGGAGAAAGGAACAAGCAAAAGATGCCTCTATATTGTCTATTCTTAAATATTTAAGGTCGGGAATAAAGCCATTTGACAAGGAGTTCAACAAAGAGGTCCAAGTATTATGTCGTCGTTTAGAACACTTAAAGCTGAAACAGGGAGTTTTATATCGATCTGTGGAACATGAAGGGGAGATAATTGAACAACTCGTACTTCCAGGTCATTATAGGAAATTAGCATTTCAGGCTCTTCACGATGATCTTGGTCACATGGGTAGAGATAGAACTATGGTATTAATGAGGGAACGATTTTATTGGCCTGGTATGGCAAGTGATGTTGAACTTTGGATCAAGAATTGTGAACGTTGTTTGAGACGAAAATCTCCTACAAATATCCGAGCCCCTTTGGTGAATATAGAAACTACTCACCCCCTTGAAGTTGTTGCGATGGATTTTCTAACACTAGAACCATCTAAAGGTAATTATCAGTATATTCTAGTTATTACAGATCTGTTCACAAAATATGCTCAAGCAATACCTACACGGAATATGACAGCTCGCACAACGGCTGAAGTATTTTTCAATAATTTTATAGTTCATTATGGTTTACCAAGTCGGATACATTCTGATCAAGGAGCTAATTTTGAGAGTAAAATTATTAAAGAATTATGTAGTTTAGTAGGTATGGATAAATCCCGCACCACAGCTTATCACCCGATGGGTAATGGGCAGTGTGAAAGATTTAATCGGACACTTTTGAATATGCTGGGTACACTTACGCCGGAGAAGAAAAATGATTGGAAAATACAAGTAGCACCTCTTGTACATGCATATAATTGCACACGACATGAAACCACTGGATTTTCACCTTTCTATTTAATGTTTGGACGCCACCCTCGTCTTCCAATAGATTTAGCGTTTGGAGTGAGTCGAGAAGTGTCTAATGTGTCATTACATTCGTATGTAAAAGCGTTAAAGGAACGGTTACAACGTTCTTATGAATTAGCGATTAAATCATCAGAGAATTGTAAAGAAAAACAGAAGACAAAATATGATCGGAAAGTTAAAGGTATTCGTCTTGATATTGGTGATCGTGTTTTAGTACGTACTTTAGCGTTTCAGGGAAAACACAAATTAGCTGATAGATGGGAACCTGGCGTTTACATTGTTGAGGATCAACCTAATTTGGAAATTCCTGTTTTTGTGGTCAGACCAGAGTCTGGGCGTGGACGATCGCGTACTTTACATCGAAATAATTTGTTATCAATCAATAGCGTTGAACCCGTGTATTTTCCGACTCCAAAACCGAGAAAGCGAAAAATAGTAATTGAGTCTAAAGTAGCTGCGGAAAAATGTGTTGAATTAGATTCAAGTTCTGATGAAGAATTTAGTTATGTGGAAGCCAATGATCCTGTAAATGAGAATTACCCGGAGGTTATTCTTACGGGAGGAGGGGAAGGTGATCATGAAATTATCGAGGATATTGTTGAGGGGGATCACAATACCGAGATATTTCATGGGGCATCTAATGACGCATCTGTAAGTAATGAAAATACTGAGGTAAAATCAATTGAAGTTAATGTTTCAGGTGACGCCGTAGATAATAATCCAAGTCCTCTACCGGCAGATGTATCTATTGAAACAAGACCTCGCCGAACATGTAACCAACCTCAATGGATGCAGAGTGGTGATTTTGTTATGGCTCAAATTAATAATCCGTCAGATTGGTATGAGAAAGCTAACTATATTCATTCATTACATCTTTCAGGTTCTTTAAGCAAAATGGCTCCAGAGGTTAGTACGGCATTGTTGTCGTTAATTACTGGTAAGTAAATGACGGGACGTCATTTTTACGGTGGGGGGAAGTATGTAACAGGGTCATATTTTGGGACTCTGTCAATTAATGTTGGTGAAGAATGTCCTGATCAGTGTCTTGATTGTTGGAAGTTTTTAATAAGTGAGTTTATAGTTTTGGTTGTGAGATAATGTAAATTCATTAAAATGTTTTGGGGGATGGATTTTCAGTTGTATGGGTCTGGAATTGTATTGTCCGGATTATGGTGTTTTATTTTAGTGGTTGAAATGTCTTAGTTCTTATATGGGTTTACTTTTAATATTTTTTGGTATAGTTGAAAGGATAACTCGTTGGACTCTTTATAGTTCTGAAGGTGGTCTCTTTCTGAAATATTGTTTATCAGGTGATTAGTAATTCTTTGTCCTGGTTGGTTATTCAGAAGTTTAGCTGGGATAAAACTAAATTACACGCATGCATCAGTACCACATGTTACAGATTTAGTGAAGGTCAATACCGGCTCTTTTCCACAAATGGGTAAGCTATTTAATTTAACTTTCTTGTAATAGATGACTGCAAGTGGACTGTGAGTTTCATGAGTGTTTGATATATAATTATATATGTAATTCAAATACTGTAAGGTAAAAATTGTAGGATGTGTAGCCAATAGAACTGTTGGTTACGAATATATGGATAATGGCAACTATTGTATTTTCAGGGCCAACTTGTCGAGCATAAATGTATTTTGTGTTATAGTTATGTGTAGTACCAACAGAAATGGTGTTTAATGGTTATGGTGAATTGAAATACATCTAGATCGACCAACATCGACTACGCGCTTACGCGTTTCATTTAATTGTTTTAAACTGTATCATGTGTCATTTGTGGATTATATAAACTTATTTAAACCTTATCGTGTTGTCAATCAAGAAATCTATTTTCCCGAACTAAGCAGGTTCAATCTATCAACTTTACCACACCATTGCAGGTGATGGAAAGGGTAGGTCTGCAATATTTGACTTGTTTGTAAAGTTGTTGTACGTGTCTCACGAATATTATTATTATTACAGTGGAATGAGAATCAGGTCAGACAGAAACTGAGAAAGCTCTCATCGTCCTCCTAGTCCTACTCTCGGGCCGTAGCAAATCCACGGTCAACACGAGTAAGAAATAAAATAAGAAACGTCGTGAAAATTTGCAGGCACTTGTTGGACAATTACGACATTCAAACCTTTAACATTGGAGTGCCGTAAATTGGTCTGGGTGACCTATTTACGGCAAATAAACAAATATAAAGACCGTAGAATAATTGTAAAATGAATAGACCTAGGCCTACACATCTTCTAAGTCTAAATAAACAAAATACCAATACATCTTTCTTTAAACTAATTTGGGATGATAGGGTCTACTACGGCACACAAAAAAAAATTATGCCGTGACAGACATGGTTTACGTACGTACGTCGGCTTTTACCATGGCTTTGCCGTTTTTGCCGTGGTAAATTTCGAGCGTCGAGTTTGTGTACAGAGAAGGACGAAGGGGTTTAAATACGACTGGGCGGCTTTCCTCGATTTTTTCTTTGTGCTTGACGGCAAAAAATAGTGCCGGGCGCAGGCGCCGCCCGGCGTGGCTACATCTTTAAAAATGTGCCTGCAAAAATTTTTTTGAAATGATTGTGCCTGCGCACACCGTGCGCATGTACGCGGAAATATCGATGCCTGTGTCGGAAAATCATGAACTTTCTCGACCAATGCTGGGATTGAACATGGGACCTCCATGATAGCGAGCAAGCATCCTACTCCCTGAGCCACTGTGGCTCCTAACTAGAGCTGACTTGGACTGTTATTATTAAATAAATATTTGACAATTTATTTAAAGAATGTGATAATCCTTACATTATACAATGGGCTATCACTCTCTTAGTCCAACAGTAATTAGTGTCATACACAAGGCAGTGTGCACATCATGCTTTTTCTTTCAAGAACATTGGGTATGTTGAAATAAAATTGTTGGCTAAAACTGCTAAGCCATCGCTCAGATTTCTAATTCTGAACTTTTTAATGCTTTTCCAGTTGAATAAATACTCAAAGTAAATCAGTACTTCGATTTTTGATATATACTGTAGACGAGTCTAAAATTATGGTGAATACTTTAGTTTTAAAAAGAAAACAAAACTAGAGGTCAAACTGACTTGTACTTTTTGGACCAGGACCTGATCCCCACACGTTAATCATCTTGTTGTTGTTCTTGGAGGTGAAACTCTTCGAAAAAAGCCTTAAAGTTTTGCCAATCGATTGACGATTTTTAATATTATGTCACAATTCCATGATACATGTAGCTGCGATGACGTCATACTCGGATCATGGTATGCTCGTATTGGTTTGATCAGTAATGATGTTATGATCGGTTCCTGGTCCAAACAGTACAATTATAATTGTTTGATCAATAATATTTTTTCTTCTTAATAGTCTTACTGTATGTTATATATACTCTTCAAAAAAAGTAGGGGATATTGAAATGCAAATACCTATGCAGGATGATATATGATAAATAGTCATGGACACTTGACATGCTTTGAGAGTATGTTCACAGACGAAGAACTTATCGCCCCAACAGAACCACTGAGCTGCACATGGGACACGCAATAGCGCCATACACGTTGGAGGGGTTCATTGTCAAATTTGACACTTCAAGGAAGGGTTATCTATCCATGTTAGCATTCCTATCGGTTCTTGCATAAGATTTACTTTATAGCGTATCTTTGCTTTAGTGTGTTACGTTTATTTTCATCGGGAGACGTGTTCGTCGACAATACTGCAAGAATTGGCCGTGGCACTGCAAGGGGAGTGGGTCAGATTGCCCCAAATCGTGATTGGGCGGTTGATTAGGAGCATGCCACGACAAATTGTTGAATGTCTGGGGACTGGTGGCGCAATTACTCATTATTAAGACAAAAATCAAAAACGTCCATTTTCACTTTTGACGGTATATCTCATTGCGAGTGAAATGGGGCTGTCAGATAAGCCACCCATATGAACTGTTTATGTTCATGTGTAGGCAATTGGCCTGTTATTAACATACACTGCTTACCTCTAATAAAAACAGCAGAGCATTTCTGCAGTTTTGAATTGTTTCTGAATATCCCCTACTTTTTTTGAAAAGTATAGTATACTTACATAAGGATGAGGAGTCAGATCTAGACTAGGATTGTTGATTAATGATTTAATGGTATGTAATAATATAGTTAACTTGGTGATGTCATGACTCACTGTCTTTACCTGTAACACAATATAAATATTATATTAAATAGGCATATATAGTCAACATCAATTTACATGTTATCATTTCATGAAAAACTAGAGATTTTTACTCAGTCCACATACTATTACCCAAATTTATCCTTTTGTATTAACTTTTTGTTTGACGGTAATATTTTTTAAAATTCTCTTTAAAAAAGTTTGATTTGAAAGTTACAACCAAAGTTGCTCCTGGTAACTACTAATACTGTCCAAGACATCTGTCCAAGAACTGTGAAGCCTTGAACATCAGATCATTACAATACACAATACTGATAAATGATTTTAGTGTTAGCTTGTCTAGTATGAAATAATTGGTTTTCTGTGCAGGTAAGCGAATTGAATACTGATATGTATATGTTAATCATATTTCAAGGGAAATAACTCTATTCATTATTGTAAACTCATAGGGATGCTTGATTGTCAGACCGGAACGTTTCGAATCGATGGAATTGAAATCCAGTGACGCAGAATTCAGTCCTGTCACAGTTCTGTCAGCCCTGACAACAGAGGTGGTGTGAGTAGAATCATAACATAATTAAACCTATTGAATATGTTTCAGCTGTCATGGCTGATTGAGATATTTTCTCATGCAGTTGATGCATGCGTTCTAGCCCCAAATACCATTTTCACTTGATTTTCACATTCTTGGGTTTGACAGAATTCAATTCTGGAATGTTCAATCAAGCATCCCCATGGAAACGCAGCCTTGAATATAAATATGATTGTGGGAATTTATGATTGAACAATCAAGGATTGGATTATCTGAATACCGTGATTGTTTCATTCAAGAACAATTGAAAACTTCAGGTGATAAGACATGCATTATTTAATATGTTACTATCTTGATCAATCACCATAGCTGAAATTCTACTTTCACATCATCTGCTAATGAAATTGGCAGAACTATGACAGGAATCCATTTCGTGTCACTCAATTACAATTCTATCAATTCAAAATATTTCAGAATCAAAATAGAGCACCTCTTTCGTATGTTTCACAGAATTAACCATTCTTCATGCTAGAAAGTATCAGTAATTATCTAACTTTGATCAAATCTAAACTTACCCCATAACAAACATAATTAACAAAATAAGACAGTAAAGGCACTATATTTGGATTTTTTCTGATGTCATCTAAGGCTACCTGAAAAAATAATTTAGAATAATACTAAAAAAGATTACAATTCTAGATTAATTAATGCTCGAATTAAACTGCATGTTCATAGATACATTGTACAGCATTTTTAGTATCAGTACAAAATTTAATTGCCCACAGTGGATGCCAAAATGGATGGATCTACTTAATGTGAAATCCAATTATTTGTAGTAAATAATTCAAGGTGATAGCCTGTAACGGCTGTAACTGTAAGTAAAGAAATAACTAAATGAAGTATTGTAAGTTTTAATACCTTTCGTATATCTGCTTCACTACTAAGTAAAGCCTTAGTTATATTATTATAATAATTTAACATGTCTTCAGATAATTCCTTCTTTATTTTTACTGTAAAGAAACATACCATCATCATATTTATTGAATGAAACGGGCCTAATGTCTCGATATCAGGACTCAGACTAGCAATTATTTGCCCATTGACTTCAATGTTAAATGGCTGTAACATCACAGGCTGTAGTTTTTTCCTTAACATTCCGTTGGTTCAAATCTTAATAAGCACATAGGAGACAGGATTTGGCACTCTCCTCATAATACTTTTGTAGGGGTTGATCGTTTAGATTTTTTGCTACCTAAGGTCAAAATGTTACGTACAACACAATGATTGCTCTGCAGTAAGACACTTTACACCCCCTATCCCTCCGCTGTAATATCATCAGTACATGTATTACCCAAAGCTGCTACGAAATTGCAAATTTGATCCCTTTTCTCCAATTCTAGACCAAAAACTCAACCAAAAAATGCTGGAAAAGGGGAGAAAAAAATTAAGGGAAAAATTGTCTATTTATAACTCGCAGTTTAAACAAATCTGTTGTTATCTAATAAACAAACATATATGCAATGCCCTGGCCAAAGATTATGAAAATCTATGCATTTTCAAGAGAGAGAGAGAATGGGGTTTAACGTCCACTCGACACAAACTAGGTCATTTCGGGACTAACATACGGTTTTAATTTTATTTCAATAATTCGCTTGCGCGTAGGGGTCTTTAGCAGTGGGAGGTAACCGGAGGACCCGGAGAAAACCCACGAGGTTGGACAGGCGGCCCTACTCATGTCACGTACGACCGGGGATTCGAAACCATGCCAGTTGACTCAATGACAGGCCTTATGATACAGCAGTGCAAGGGAAAAACTTGCACTACATTCGTCCATCATGAAATAAAGGGAAATAATTACTAGTCTTAGTCCATTTTGCTTAAAACACAGCAATTTTATTTCTATGGTTATATGTACAGAGTAATTTCTTCAAATTGCAACTGACAAGAAATCGCTGAAGTTCTTAAACAATTTGTACAATTTTTATAGCCATCTGAACAAATATGCACATTTTTCTTGTTAAAAGTGAGAAACAGGATTGAAATGAAATCAAGTTTAACCTCCTATTTTTGTACAGTGACTGGACTAATAAAGACAGGGAGAAATGGACTTTAAAAATCTTCTCAATCAATGCTGGGATTCAAAGCCAAGATATTCATGTTTTAAGTTCAGTATCCTAACCATATGGCTCTTTATGATGATAGACTGAATTTTCGAACTGTAGAAGTGTAAGTTAACATTTTCTGTAAAACTTAGTTGAAAATGTTCATTTAAATTCTCCCTTACTTGGATTGGATACAGCAGTAGAGATTAACAATTATTATCTTCATTGATCCACAGTTTACACATATTCTTAATTCAATGGAAAGCAGTCAAAATTTTAAGGAATAAAAGATATCTGGAAATGTGACACATCTAAATCTAATATTATAGTCAGGAGCATCCAGTTCCTATTGAGAAGGAGGGTAAAGAACTTCAGAGATGTTTTACATAATCAGTAGGGTGACCACCCCTCCCGCATTTCGCGGGACAGTCCCGCAAAATGTTTCCAAGTCCCGCGTCCCGAAAACCAACCAAACTGTCCCGCAATTGCTCACATGGAAGATTTCTATACAGTAATATGCCTGAATCTAGTCTCGCTATAGTCTATTTAATTATTAGTCTAGTCAAAATACTGAAAGACGAAAGACCAACCACAAATTCCTTTAGAAGGTCTTTTGTACCAACATGTAGATCACCTTTCCCTGTACATCATTCTGAAAATCCACCGAAATCCACCGGCGTGCCCCCCTCCTTCCCCCCGTCACTGGTGCAGGACAGAGGGCCTTGGTCAACGTATACTCATTCGGATGAGACGCAAAAGAATCCTTGGCAGTTGGAATTCGATATAAGAGTATAGGCCGTAGCACCGGTCCCGGGCACAATTTTGATCATAGGACACAACATGTAGATCACCTTTCCCTGTACATCATTCTGAAAATCCACCAAATCCACCGGTGTGCCCCCCCCCCTCCTGTCACTGGTGCAGGACAGAGGGCCATGGTCAACGTATACTCATTCGGATGTGATGCAAAAACATCCTTGGCAGTTGGAATTCGATATAAGATTAAAGGCCGTAGCACCGTTCCCGGGCACAATTTCGATCATAGGGCACAATATGGCGTATGCCCGTCTTCATTAGCCCAGTCGGGCGTTAAATCCCATTTCAATTACGATATTTTAATGTAATAAACTTAAGAAATCGAAAATATTGACGAATATAATTTATATAACATTGACACCTCACACTACAACTACAACCACTATCAGCAGCGCAACCGACAACACCACGACCGTCACCATACTCAAAGAAAATTAAATTAAATGAATATAATTAATTCACATATTATATTTTTAAAAATATTGTATAGACCTGCACTACCAGTAGAAATCTCAGTTCTCAGACAGTACATCTTTAAAAATCTCCAAATATTAATTTACAACTTGGAAAACGTGCTTTGTCCTATGCTAGACCTTTTCTATGCAATAAACTACCAAAGTCAATTATTGTCAAAACAGTCCAGGGGGAGAGAGAAGAGAGGCAAAAAGACAAATGGAATTTTACGCCCACTCGAAACAAACTATAATTCGCTTGCACATAAGGTCTTTAGCTTTGGGAGGAAACCAGTGGACAAGGTTAGATGGCGATCCCATTCCTTGTCACATACAAGCGGGGAATCGAAACCACGTCACTTGACTCAATGACAGAACTTATGATCTAAAATGCATGCGTTAACCAAGGGGCCACCCAAACCCCCTCTTACCCAAAGAATATTAAAATTAAATAAATACTAGTATTTGTTACATTATGAATCACATAAACAAAAAAACATTAGCTGACTACTGGGGCATTTGCCGTGACCGAAGGCTATGTATTTCTATTTTATATAGACAGTGCACTCTGTCGCATCCGACATCGTACGGGGTCGTTACAATATGTCTGATTACGAAGAGTGGCGGAATACCCAGTTTTCTCAAAACCGGAAAAATTGTAACTTCGAAAACCGGAAGTATTATTATAATGTAGCTTCGAAAATAGAACTTTGAATCATCAGAATGTTATTCCCTTTAAAAATGATAAACCTTTCTGTACATTCAAAATTTTATTGCATTACTTTTTATTTCATTTAACATGCGTAGGCATTTTGAATAGGTCAAGTCTGTCGTTAATTTATCTCCTTCGCCGTCTTCAGTTGATCGCACTCTTGTCTTTGCTATCACGTGTTCATTGATTATGGGCGTACTCGATTGAACGTTCTCTCAATCCCAAAAATATTGACAATCGAGTGAAAATGGGTACTTCGGGCTACAACGCATGCGTCGACTGGATATATAAATATCTCATCCAACCATGAAGCCGAAACCTGCTCGTCGTGTTTAATTACGTCACAATTCTACTCACACTACCTCCATCGTCGGGACTGACAGAACTGTGACAGGACTGAATTCCATGTCACTCGATTGCAATTCTGTCAATTTGGGACGTTCCGGACTGTGAATCGAGCATCGTCACACGGTTCGAAGACATCCGTAGGGTGACCAAACTTATAGGTTATCCAGGTTCAATCGGCATGCGCAACGAATGTTTCCAATGGGAGCTAGGAATATTTTTACGACTGTGAATTCGGGGAAAAATTCGTGGATATTCTTGAGTATTTGTCACAACTGTCGTACAAGAGATTAAAATTATCAAAGTAATCAACAAAGACCCACGGTAGCGAGGCCGGATTATACGGTGTCGATTCAATGGAAATCGTATGACGGGACGACTGATTGATGTCGTAATCCGGAACGTACAGAGGTCGAATTACCCAGAGATTTTTTGTCTGAAGTAATAAGGAAATAAATCGGGACATGAAAATGGTGTCGGATGTAACAGAGTGCCGGAGTGATCAGAGGTCGGATGTGACAGAGTGCACTGTATATATATATAAAAAAAACCAAAAAAACTGGAAGACAATGGATGTATCGAATTGCTTGTTCCTTTATTTTGATATGTATACTTGGTTTAATGGAGTATCAATTACATTCGCTTTCGCTTTGTCGTCTCTGAATTAGTAAAATTCAAATACATGTATGTCCATTGATGCATAACTGATGATTGTGTAAAGGTATCTTGTATGTGATGATCAACCAGGGACAGTAAAAGATGAATTACCTAAGATTTAGATAAAGAGCTGACAGTTCTTGCAATAATAGTTTAAACATACATTATGCAAGAGCTAAATCTGCCTTTTGCAGGTCTTCCTTTAGGCTTGAAATGTTATATAAGCCATAAGACATTTATTAACAAAACAAGACCATAATCAACTCTCGATGGCATAGGATACTCGAGATTTAACTAGATTAGAACGGTTGGCCATTTAAAAATTTAATTTAAAAATGGGAAAGCGAGGCTTAGTCTCGAATATACCAGAGAGAAGGAGAGATGGGTTTTAAGTCCACTCGACACAAACTAGGTCATTTTGGGACTAACACATGATCTAATTTTATTTCAATCATTCGCTTGCGCGTATGGGTCTTTAGCAGTGGGAGGAAACCAGAAGACCCAGAGAAAACCCACAAGGTTGGACAGGCGACCGCGACACTCCTTGTCACGTACAACCGGGGAATCAAAACCACGCCAGTTGACTCAATGACAGACCTTATGATCCAGCTCGCACGTGCTAACCATTCGGCCATCCAGCCCCCCCAGCTCTTAAATCATGCATCTTTAACCAGCATAACATCCTTTATACTAAGTTATTATAAAATCTCAATCAGTTTCACAACATTTAGCATGATTAAACTTAAGCAATAAAATTTCAAAACGTTTCACTGCCTTCGGCATGATTTAATTTTAGCGATAAACGATTAATGTACATGGATGATAATTCGGCAGTCATTTGATTGTAACTTAAAGATTTAATTCAACGCCAACGCACCCTTTCAAACGGTTCTGTCGCACAAATTAATAATTTATATATTTTGTTTGAAATGAAAGATATGAATATTATATGACTTGAATTTATATTATTATCCTAAAAGATTCATGGTAAATATCATATGACACACAAATATAAACCAGGCTTGTGTGAATATTTCATAGTTTGATTTTCTATTGTTGCTATGACGAAAAGTGAAGTGACTATATCAACATTGTTATGCATACTGTACAGGTTTGTTTTTTTTAAAAAAGATGATGTCCTGCAATATGATCAAGCAAAGGTGGTCACCCTAATAATCAGGTAATTTTATTGAGATGAAACCTGCATTCTGCTGTATCCCCGATTATGTATTTAGCAACTACATGCATGTGTGTAGATCTCACAATTAAACCAAAGTGAGGTTTGACGTCTGCTTTTATGTCAAACATGTATAGTGGACAAACTGAATTCTTACCTGTAGAAGAAGATTTTGGAATTCCCTCAACAGCCAACCAATCAGCTGAAAGAAAATCAAAAACAAATTATAATAACTGCACTGACAGTCAGACTCCCCCCATTGGGTATCATAAAATTTGACTTTGTAATAAATTAATTACTGGCATGCATAAGCTCGCCGGTATATAAAGATTTGTAACACAGAAAATAAAAGACATTGTACAAAATTATTTTTATCTTAGAAACCAAAAGAAGTAAATTTGCAGTTTATCTACAATTTTCACTAAAAATTCAAAGTTGCTACATTTATAGAAATGACAAACTCAACAAACTCACATAAATCATCAATCACATAATACCACTATTTAAAAAAAAACATACCACTGCCAGATATATTTGAACTAATAATTCTAATTAATTCCATGTGAAACATTTTTAGAAATGTTTATTCATGTTGATACTACTATCTAAAGCTTTGCGATACTTTTTCGTAGAAATACACGGCCATACTATATACCGGAAAACACCGGAAAACAACCGGAAAACACCATTTTATACTGAATACCGGAAAACACCGGAAAAACACTAAATACCGGAAAACATCCTAAATACCGGAAAACACCCTAAATAGGTAACCCGGAGCCTGGTCCTCTGTGTGCGGTTTTGGTCCAAGTGAGCGCCGATGAAGGAAAGTCATGGTCATTATGATGTTCGTTTTACAAATAGCCCCCCCCCCCCCCCAAAAAAAATTTCCGATTTTTTTTCTCCAAAATTTTGTTGATGCCTATTATGTTTTGAATGTTTTAAAAGACGCAATCAGTCTACCTCCATCATTGACCATATTTTATTTTGTATTTTAATTTTAGTTTTCAGTAAATTTTAGTAGATTTCAGTGTTTCAGTATTTCAGTAGATTAAACACAGCCCTCTGAGGGCCCCGTTATATGCCGGTTGCGCCGGTCTCCTGATTCTTACCAGTAACGCTGGCATCAGGGTGGTACGAATTAGTGGAAGGCACGATTAGGCCAACTCCTCCCTAGGTAACAAAAAAATCGCATCATAAAACAGCAAGTATCATCAAAAGCGAGTTAATAAATCTCTGAATAGTTCGAGTTGAAGTTCCAGGTTTAACCGCTATGTGTCCTAATCACCAAACGAAATGGATGCCACGCAATTCTCGGACAGGCTGTAATCTGAAAAGTGTCTATCCTTTCCAAGAGCTATCCATCTGGTTGGAAGGGCTAAAAATCTACTTGTTTTTGAGCTTACTTTCATTCCAGGGTCAAATATAATCACTTGAACCATAATAATATTCAACATATTCCATCATAATCCGAGGGCCGCACACAGGATTTTTTTTCTGGATTACTTTTCGAGCTTTATTCCCCAACTCGTTGACCAGTTTTCCTTGAGAAAACCCCAACTTTCGCCCAATTGTCCATGAGGAAACTACATATTCTATCTTAAGCTGGACGTCTGTGAAAAGGGTTGATCCATAAATTTTCAAGGAAGCAATTGTTGTTTTTGTTTGTGAAATAGAGGACTCTAGCCGATGAGGCTACTTCCCCCCCCCGAGAACCTCAGGCAACCAATTTGTTTTATGTACTACTATCGTAATAAAACATTACTATATTAACCACTTCCTGGTGGCTGAAGACTTACACCGAATGCGTAATCGGAAAAAAATGTCCCTGAGAAAATGTTTTTTCCGACAATCGATATTCAAGATGTCTTCTGTTGCACAAATTATGCTACACTGTGCAAGAACTTTCTTCCTTTGATCTGAAGATTGTAGATGGAAAAGTATCATTTGCACTATTTCAAAGTAAACCTGCATTTTCGTATATCATCCCGTAATTTGTGATTAATGACAATGACTGTGGAAATAATATGGGTTGAGGAATGGAAGATCTATGTTCGTCACGTGACTGGACAATTCCACCCCCCGTCCCACCCTGACGATGATCCCTTCCGGAGCGGCGCAGCGCGCTCTCTAAAAAAAATCTCAGGCACAGTTTACTCTTCTAAGTTTTCAGGTAGGTATTTAGTAATGCGGAGTTTGGTCCTCGTGTGTGGTTTTGGACCAGGTGAGCGCTGATGAAATAAGTTCATTAACATACAAGCGAGCGATCGCCTACGGTCAAAGAAAAATTTCTTTTCAGATTTTTTTTAAGAATTTCTTCTCCCAAATTTCTCTCTCAAAAAATTCAAATTTTGTTTCCAGTATTTTTCTCTGTAAAATTATTTCCTACGGAATGTTTTTTTGTAAAACCAATTTTTCGGAAAAATTCTATTTTTTGGGGGGGACAGAAAATTTTTTTCGCCAAAAAAATTTGGGAGAAAAAAAAATCGGATTTTTTTTGGGGGGGGGGGGGGGGCTATTTGTAAAACGAACATGACCTTGACCTTCCTTCATCGGCGCTCACTTGGTCCAAAACCGCACACAGAGGACCAGGCTCCGGGTTACCTATTTAGGGTGTTTTCCGGTATTTAGGATGTTTTCCGGTATTTAGGATGTTTTCCAGTATTTAGTGTTTTTCCGGTGTTTTCCGGTATTCAGTATAAAATGGTGTTTTCCGGTTGTTTTCCAGTGTTTTCCGGTATATAGTATTGCCGGAAATACATACAGAGATTTTCCAAACTTAAGTAAAATTGTATTTACATATAGCTGTAGTTATTGATATACCAAAGTGTGATAGTCGAGTTGATTAGATCAAAAAGTTTCTAGTCTGAATTAAGTAAGTTGGTTTAACTCGACTTTCTGAAATAATTTCCAAATTGTTCAAACTTTGTACCTACATGTAAAACTTTCAGATCAGTTAAATAGGCTATAATAACTTCGAATTTTGAATATTTTAACCCACTTGTATCTATGTTTAGACTAAGAGTTAGACTGCTCTACTTACCTTTAATGCTTGTCTCTCCAAGATTTTTAGGAACATATCTCCCAAGAGCAATATCACAGAAATTAACCTCACCATCTTCTACAAAATGAATATCTCCATCACGTGTCTGTTTAAAACTCAAGGCTTCAGATGATCCATGACCAAATATTGGCTACAAGAATAAAGATTAAAATTAGAAATAAAGTCTTGATGATTGGACCTGTATGAAGTAAACGGTATTCACACAAATTTTTAATTTATATTTGTACATAGAATTGGTTTAGGTTACTTATTGCTTCTTCAGAATCTGACCAAAATACAAATCTATATTTCGTTTTGTTTTTTTATACTTTCGATGACCTACACTACATGAAGATCTGACTAGCTATACTGGGAGGTCGTGTCAGGGGTTATACGAACGGGTTTTGACCCTATGACGCCGGACATTGATTAATCAATCAGAGTTGATATTTATAGGGGTTTACACATAGTTTCATGTAGAGAACGCTTAGAACTCGCCATAACAGACCGTTTCATTGGCTAATTCCTCACATCAACTAGAACGCCTGTTATATAACAACTCTTTTAGATCCTAGTGTCGTGAAGACAAGTAAAACGAAATTTTGAACTATAAAAAACGAAACGAAATAGGATCTGTGTTTTAATCATATTGGCTTCTTCATCATTGTTTTGAATTCGCTACAATTTGATATTAACTGTTGGTGAGTTATTGTCAGATAGTGTTTATAAACTGTATAAGAAAAAGAAAAGATAAATACCTGAACATCCATTCCCCTTAAAGCTCTGTTAAAATCTTCTGTTACCAACTTTCTTCTTTTACCGTGTTTCATGAACTGTGTGCTGTTCTAAAACAATAAAACAACAACTAAACATACATGTATGATACTTGCAAATATCAAAAATTATCAAAAAATCAAAGCGCCACTCACCACCCACCATTTGCAACATGATCTTATCAAAGTTATATATGAATGATTTCATTCAAAAATGTTATGATAATTGTCAAGCTAGAGAAAGAGAGAGAGAGAGAGACAGACAAACTAGGTCATTTCGGGACTATTATGGTTTAATTTTAATTTTAATAATTTGCTTGCGCGCAGGGGACTGTAGCAGTGGGAGGAAACCAGAGGACCCGGAGAAAACCCACAAGGTTGGACAGGCAACCCTACTCCTTGTCACGTACAACCGGGGATTCGAAACCAAGCCAGTTGACTCATTGAAAGGCCTTATGATACAGCGCGCACGTGCTAAACATTCAGCCATCCAACCCCCCTTGTCAAGCTACACCAAACAACTAATTCAAACACCTACCATAGTAACCTCCCTTAATCTATAGCTGACATCTTCACTCAGAAGGGCAGCCACTTCATCAGATATGTCAGCATGGCCTGCTGCCTCCGCCATAACTCGGACAGAGTCTTTAGTTATTATGGCAAAGGCTATGTCATTATCTGTGATCTTTTTCTCTTCAGCACTACTTGGGTTTTCTGAACTCATGTTGCGGACTTGTTCTTTGCCTTGTATATTATGTTCTCACTTTCATTTTCGCATCAAATACTGTTCATTGTTATTCATAATAAATGTCTGCCTGTAGATTAGCTTCTATTATTGGTATTTTTTTTGAAAATACAATACAAAAGAAATTCTGTACTTTTAACTATTCTGTAAAAATAAAAATAGATAGTCAAGCAAACAGACCTGGGCTTACTACTGTTTTTGGCCAGTACGAATAAATTACAATTATTCTATCACCTCAGTAAGATAAAATCTATTGTGAAATTGCATTTTTGACAAAGTTCCTCACAAAATGGCACATATCAGTATCACATGATAAAACATAGGATGATGTAGGAGGATAAGGTTCAAAATTTTTTTAACATCTATGTTTTGCAATAAAAAACAAGCTGCAGTCCAAACGATCGGTAATGTTTGGGCAACATAAAAATTGCATAGATTTATATTGAAATATATAATAACTGAACAGCAATCTACTCAAATTTATTTACAACGGTTATAGGCAACACTACTGATTGCATAGGAGTTCTATATTGAAACAACTGATCCCCAGTCTGCCAAATTTTACATACAATGATTGAATAGGCTGCGGTTAATTGATTGTCTGTTTCTCATGACCTGTGTTTGTGAAATATACATGGGGTAGTTATAAATCATTGCGATGGAATTTAAAATTTTCGAGTTTAATGCTGTTTGTATTTCAGGAATAACTAATGTCAGTTACTTGGTCATTGAAAATTCAATGGTAACCGGCGTCTATGATTTAATCCCATTTAATAAATTTTATAGATTTACAATATCTATTGCACAATAGGTGGACATCGGCAAACTTGATCATATAATAATACATGTAGGTCTAAACTATTAATGATATGTTCGTTAATTCATTCATTCTTGGCATTTCATTTCTTCATCTCTCCCTATTTTGGCAGGTGACAAAATGACCTGTTCCAATCAGGTTGATTTAATAATTTGTTCTGACATAAATATTTAAAAGCATACCTTTGGATTTTTAAACACAAAACAAGTTATATTATTTAGCATCTCAGCTAATTCCAAAGAATTTACACGTGTTCGTTTCATTAGCAGTGAAGGAAGATAGTTCCAATAACCCATATGTTAATTGTCTTCAACTTTGACACCATCGACACATGGCATCGTGATACATACATGTAAATACTTTTATTTTTTTTCTCTATCTTTACCAAACCTGACCATTTACTTTATTAGTGTTCTTGTTTCCTTTTGTTACTGTGTTTATAGAGTGTCATGGTTAATAAAATACAGTAAAGTCAATGTCAATCAGTAGGTACCTGATGATTGAGGCTATCTCATGTCAGCACTCAGCAGTTTTGAGACAGTTAGTCACAGAGTGCTAGTCACGTAAATAAAATATTTTAACAGGAATTTAAAGACATTTATATCTTCCGTGAATTTTATTACAAATGACAAGTGCCTTATGAAGTATGTATGGAACGTTGCATACTTTTTCACATTCTAGCCTAGTAATTAACATGTTTATTGATAAATTAAATAATGGATTTTTATGCGTCAATTCTTTGCTATATCTAAAGGCAAACAATTTATAGTTTTACAAACTTTACAGGATGAATATGTGTCCTCACTAAATTTGACCTAATAGTTATGGAAGTGCGTAATTATTACGGATGAAAACTGACATGCGGGCGGGTCATGAGAAACAGACAATTAACTGTGGCCTAATTCCTGAGTGATAATTGAAACTGCTACACACGTTAAAGTTTTAAACACCATGTCAAAGAATACATGATAACACAACAAAAGATAGGCAATACAGCACAAAATAGTCTTATTGTAGGGTGCCCCGTGCAGCAAACATTTACCCTACAGAAAGTTGAACTCGACATGGCGAATGTGCATGCTTCATTGGCCTGTCTCAAAGTGATTTCTGGTATATCACGCAGTGCGATAACAGAGTCTCTAAATAGCCATCGCACGTGAAATTCTCTAAACATCTATCAACTATTACAGCCGTAAAATATCTATTGTTGATGATTCTGAATAGCAGTAATATTTAGCTTTTTGGTTATTACAGCAGCTTTAGAAAATATGTTTGTTTTATTATTTAAATTGCTTTATCATTAACTAGTACAAATAATATCTCTGAAACACTCAGGTTAGACAAGAACATGATACTAGCTAGCAGTAGGGCTGTGTCCATTTATCGATACACTGATATGTATCGATACATTCCAGCGATATTTAAATCGATACCTAATATAGCCGTATCGTTGAAAAAATTCCTCGGTTAAGAAAGACCACGAAACCCACGTGGTGAAAGAAGACGATCTCGGCATGGTTTGCCAATCGAGCGTCTTCTGCGCTCTGTATGAATTCCAGGTACCGGTAGATATTAAAATAATAACTGGATCATACATTGATGGATTCATCTTCATTGAATATAATCCCGATAGAACACCGAATACACCGAGAAACAGTCATTTAATAATATATTTTCCTGATAGAATTCCAATAACACGTGACATATTGCTTGGAATTAGCTCAATAAACCAGTTCTAAATAGCGCTTACTGTTATGATTTTTTTTTATTTTATACACATTCTGACAAAGGCTTAATTTAAAAAATATTGTTTTTATTGAAGGCTATATCATAATCGTACGGAAGGTTTTTTTTAAAGCAATTTCAAGTACAGTTGTCACTTGACAATTGTGCCGTACTTGTGTCTATCAATTGACGAATGAATAAAAACTTTGGCCAAGTTACGTGGCTAGTTACCTGATAGACAAAGACTACAAATTGTGTTATGAAGAAATGCCATGGTGCCGTATCAGCTTATTTTGTGTACGTACGGCATTTTCTGATACTGGCAATAGTTGAAAAATGCTAATATTTTAGATCATCGACTTATGAAAAGCGAACGTTTCATCGAATAAACGAAGACAGTAATTAATTTATTCTGGAATATTACTCGAACTTCAAGATGGTACGTGAATTAAATATGGAAAATTTTCAAAAGGTGTACCTGTCGTTATTTTTGTGGTAATCACATACATTAAAATACGACATTTTCCACAACAAATTACCAAGAATTATTTTTGTTGAAGACTAGTTATATTAAAGGGAATGGAGCTTATAATTAACCCATATCCTACGGGACCTCAATTGACCCAATTCTGGCCGGTTTGTTTCAAAATGGATTAAGAACCCTGATGCTTACCCATCTCAAACATATTGAAACAGAATGTAGTTTGAGATTATTTTGGGCATAATTCGTGATGTCATCATATCGCGATACGTATCGCGTATCGTCAATACGTATCGTATCGAAAATGAACTGCATCGACACAGCCCTAGCTAGGAGTAGTTTCATTTTACTTTTACAAGGTTCTTAAAACAACTGTTGAGTTGCCTAATGTGCGTGTTTCTAAATTAAATTTCTTGTTCCAGCTTTCTGTTATGTTTCGTAAAAAAGTAGTCTTGATTATCCCGGCCAATCAATTTGATGTAGAATGGTTGGTAGACTAGTTAAGGGAGACTAATGACAAAACAAGGGTACGTAACCTATTTTTTACGCAGAATTGCACGGATGATATGGCCCACACTCGTAACCATTTTTCAGTCTATTATTTATAGAAGGTTATGGTCATAGCTTATTAAGTACAAACAAGAACGTATTAAAACAAATACATGTATAACTGGCACTTATATTTGTTGGGATGAGTTGTCTTCTAGCTCGACCCATGTTTTAAAGTTGGGATGATTTGTCTTTTATCTTGGAATGAGTTGTCTTATATTGGGATGAGTTGTCATGGGATGAGTTGTCTTTGGGATGAGTTGTCTGTATACCCTATAAATGTGCGAAACTGATTTAAGGCTTGGTATTTATCTAAATATTGTGGTGTAATTGTCGAGATATTTGGAGATATTTATTTATGGTGGGGTACCCTACTCATTGCAACAAAATAACAAATAGATATTTTAAAGGCAGACAAATTAAAATTACAGAACTGTCGTCATCGTTCCTGTGTTTCGCAAAAATAGAAAGAAATCCGTCGTAATTTTAAAAATACTATAAAATTCACAAAATAAACGAAAGATGTCATACTTGAGTGTCAAACTATGCAAAACTGTTCGTTTGCTGGAAAATATTATGGTTGTATTTCCCTAAAAAGTTCCTCTTCTGTTAGTTCTAAGAAATTTGCCTCCATTTTACCGCCATGACAGTTGTTAGTTCAATCAGAGTTATCTCTCGGTGCATTCAGAACCCTCCAACATGTACGGTACTGGAATCTGCGGAGGGTTGCCGAGTGGACTAAGTACGGTTGTGCTTGTTTTTCATTTTCAGTAAAGTCTGTCTTGTGTAATTGTTTGTGTGTGGTACGCAGCCCCCCTCCCCCCTGCATTTAAAGGAGCTCTACTAAGTAATAATAATAATAATGCTTTATTTCACAACTACATGGTCAATACATGAGTATGATAAAGCATACAATACAAAGTACAACTACAATACAATAATAATAATAAATATCAAAGAACATGGAATAAGGTTTACAGAGGTTTCTAAAAGTATATTAAATTTTATTAATAATGCTAGTAATTAAGTCTCTAACTCAATATTTTCCATAATATTCGAAAATAAAAACACGAATTAGAATTCAATATTGATCATTTCCAATCAATATTATTTGTGTTATCTTGCCGTGATACTATTACTATATTCCTAGGATCTTAATATCAAATAGGCCTATTTAAGACACAATTAACATTTTATAATCAGTAGGCTAAACAAATCGTGTAAGTCTACCCTAGCTATGGTTTCGGACGCCATTTTGTAATTATGAACAACTAGTAAAGTGTAGAAGTAACTACATGTATACTGATTCACAAATAACAAATTAATAATCTTTTGGAGGCATTTGGTAACTGACAAAATAATAGTTTTAAAAAAACGTCAATTTTACGGGAATAGAAAATTTTCTCGGGCAGACAGTTAAAAAAAAACTAAATTGTGGAACAAATCACGTTTTGCCTTAGTTGCCAAAATAAAGTGCCCGAAATCCCACGATATTTTTGGTTTAAAGGCAATCTGCGCTGTGGGATATTTGTTGGGCATCAATCATTATTTGTGTCATCAATTTTCTTTAAAGTGTCTTATGGATAAACACTGTCTACCACCTTCATGGGGATTTTCCGGCGTACCCCCCCCCCCCCACCTTTGTCAGTGGTAAATAGTAATTACAAACTGATTCATAAACGACATAATAATAATCTAAAATATGTCTAGAATGGAGTACGCAGGCCTAAACGACTGACATTCAGTTTGAACAGTTCACATATTATTTTACCGAACGCCGAACATAATTAAAAATTACAATTAGGTCTGAGTTACTGTATATACATCCATATTTTCATATTTTAGACCCATTTTCGTCTATTTTAAGGTTCAAAAGAATATAACCATACGCCCTTTAAACTACATTTCCCGACTATTGTTTCCAGAAGTTTCTGATGTCCAGAAATGCAACGGTAACATGTTGGCGGGTGTTCCCCAGCTCACATAAATCCGAAGTTCGCCTAGCCTACCTGGACAAGTGTCCCAGCTGTCGCCCTTTCCCCTCTCACGGGCCCTTCTAATATCCACTACAGTATTTAAAACACAATGGACTTGTTAAAATCAGTAGCCTACATGGTTCGTGTATTCTATGGAAATAATAAACACAAAAAGCATACTCCACAAGATAATGCGGAACTCACTTAAATGATAAAATAAAAAAAAAACGTATAGAATGAACTAAGCAGGCACAAACGAAAGTTCAATTTAGACTGTTCGCGTGTTTCACCGAACATAAATAATTACAACAAAAAAATTTAAATTGAATAGAAATCACTTTATAATACATTAATGTGTGCTTATAGACCCATTTTCGTTTATTTTAAGATTCCAAAGAATAAAGCTAAACGCCCTTTTTAATCCCATTTTTCATTCATTCCGTATAGGGGAGGTCTTTCTCAGAAAAAAATATGACAATCAGACGACCGCAAGCGGGTTTTCCCGCTATTTTAGCCCGTGAATACAGCCGCCTGAGAGTCGTCCAATATAGCATTATCTGGTTTTGCAACATTGATCCCAACCATTTGAACACCCGCCAACAAATTTTACCGTTGCATTTCAGGACATCAGAAATTTCTGGAAACAATAGTCGGAAAAAATGTCGTTTAAACATTTCAGACATGTCTCATGACACAATTGTATAAATCACAGGTTATACTAAGATGTTTATTTCGGGCGAAGCGTCGATGCAGATTCTCTCGTCGCTATTAGGGAGCGTCACCCTGCAGCTAGCCTCCACATTACTCCTGATACATATAGCATTATTCGCAACAGATTGAAGTCAATGCCAAACTATACATCCCTGCGAAATGCAACCATACCAATAATATCAACTAAAACTCAACCCAAGCACTTGCTAAAACATCTCAGAAGGAATAATAATATTACCAAAACTGTTTAAAATGTTAGCCTCCTCACAGGTGACTACTCGACAACCACACCTAAAGAGAACACAAAGCCCCCAAAGAACTTCAGAAAGACAGGGCCATCACAACAGTACCTGCGGACAAAGAGACGTTAACTGTTATAATGGATACACCTGACTACGTCAGCATTGTTAACACCCTTCAAGACCAATTAAACTACACACTGCAACGTAAGACCCCATTTCTGCTCATCACACCGAAGACCCGAAACACGTCTTCACCTTCAAAATCCACCCAAAGTCAGGTTACATGTGTGCTCCCGAGACCATAGTACACAGCCCAATACTTTTCGAAATTTGTATTTTCACATGACTCGAATAACATTATCAACGTAAGTTCGTCTCCTACGATGTTGTCGACTTGGTCACGCCCCCCCCCCCCCACGCCAACCCCAACGCCAACCCCAACTCCTTAGTAGACCAGCTCAACACACAGCATAATGAAACTAAGTTCACCGTGGGCACAGAACGAGACAACAGCCTCCCCTTTCTAGATGCATAATATGGCGGGGTATCAGGTTCAAAATGCTATCTGCAGTAGAAAGTAGAAAATAAAAAGCAAACGAGAAAATTCTTATCCAAAATGGACATTTTCGTGTGGGAAACATATACCGCTCGTGCTTTTCAACCTAATACGTCCACCTTTTCAACTTTAAGTCGTAAATATTCTACTTTCAACAACAGAATTTCTACTTTCAATAATCAACTTTTGACATTCGACTTTCAACTTCGTATTTTCTACTCGCGATTTTCTCCATGCATATTACGGAAATAAATTTGATCACGTGACTATTTCTGCATGTCATTAAAATACGGTAATTAAAAATAAACGATCCCAGGGAAAGATAACTCTAGTTGTAAGACTAAGATAAGATGGAATCAGACTAGCAATTATTTGCCCATTGACTTCAATGTTAAATGGCTGTAACAGCACAGGCTGTAGCTGTTTGCTCAACATTCCATTGGTTCCAATCTTTATAGGCACAACGGGGACCACATTTGGCAATTTTCAACATAAATTTGTACGGGGTTGACCGTTTAGATTTTTTGCTACGGGGATTTGAAGTTGACTGGGGTGAAAATCTCACTTCCGACACAATGATTGCTCTGCAGAAAGACACTTTACACCCCCTATCCTTCCGCTAAATATCATCAGTATTACCCAAAACTGCTACGAAATTGCAAATTTGATCCCTTTTATCCATTTCTAGACCAAAAAGTCAACCCAAAAATGCAGGAAGAGGGGAGAAAAAAATTAAGGGAAAAATTGTCTATTTATAACTCGCAGTTTAAACAAATCTGTTGTTATCTAATAAACAAACATATATGCAATGCCCTTGCCAAAGATTATGAAAATCTATGCATTTTCAAGAGAGAGAGAGAAATGGGGTTTAACGTCCACTCGACACAAACTAGGTCATTTCGGGACTAACATATGGTTTTAATTTTATTTCAATAATTCCCTTGCGCGTAGGGGTCTTTAGCAGTGGGAGAAAACCGGAGGACCCGGAGAAAACCCACGAGGTTGGACAGGCGACCCTACTCATGTCACGTACGACCGGGGATTCGAAACCACGCCAGTTGACTCAATGACAGGCCTTATGATACAGCACGCACGTGCTAACCATTCGACCATCCCCCCCCCCCCTATGCATTTTCAGATGAGCTGTGCAGCATTCTGCAAACACTATAATACATCAGAAAACTGCGGAATTACAGACAGAAATTTAAAAGCACAAGAATTTTGAATTCAACATAACATTTTTATTTTCGAACATAAATGCATCCTGTAAAAAGATGAGATAAATTCAATATAAATCAAACACGAAAATGATGCAATATTAGACTTTATAACACTTTCATCGAAAACCACACAGTTTTTCTCTGTTAACGTAGTCTCGAGTGCCAAATGGTGGTCAAATCTAAGACGTTGAAACAAGCAGTGCCTATCAATTTTAAAATATCTCATATATAGCTGTATTTCCATAGGATACGTAAGTTGAAATAATCTGATTATGTAACACTACAACAGCTTTTTCATCCCCACCACCCAGTTGGAATTTGATAATTTAAAAGCACAGGAATTTTGAATTCCACAGAACATTTTTATTTTTGAACATAAATGCATTCTTCAAAAAGATGAGATGAATTCAATATAAATCAAACACGAAAATACTTTAAAACAGTATTCATGATGCAATATTAGACTTTTAACAATTTCATCGAAAACCACACAGTTTTTCTCTGTTAACATAGTTTCAAGTGCCAAATTGTGGTCAAATCTAAAATGTTGAAACATGCAGTGCCCATGAATTTCAAAATATCTCCTATTAGCTGTATTTCCACAGGATAAGTAAGTTAAAATAATCCGATTATGTAACACTACAACAGTTTTTTCATCCCCACCCCCAGTATGGAATCTGAAACATTGCTGTTCACTCTGGCCTGTCAAATGATTTACAATGGCGATGGTGCTTACAACTTTCCTGACCAAGAGATATGCACAACCGTCACACACAAGCCATTTATGTTATCTTCAAATATGAGAGGCCATGATAAACACAAGGGCGTCCTTTTCAAGCTCGGAAATGAAGTCATCACCAAACAACAAAGTTTACAGAGGTCTTCGGGGCTGGAACCCAAACTGATTACAATGGGCAAATAATTGCTAGACTGATTCCATCTTATCTTAGTCTTACAACTAGAGTTATCTTTCCCTTGGATCGTTTATTTTTCTGGAAAAATACCGTATTTTAATGACATGCAGAAATAGCCACGTGATCAAATTTATTTCCGTAATATGCATGGAGAAAATCGCGAGCAGAAAATCTCGAGTAGAAAATCTGAAGTTGAAAGTCGAATGTCAAAAGTTGATTATTGAAAGTTAAGTAGAAATTCTGTTGTTGAAAGTAGAATATTTACGACTTAAAGTTGAAAAGGTGGACGTATTAGGTTGAAAAGCACGAGCGGTATATGTTTCCCCACATGAAAATGTCCATTTTGGATAAGAATTTTCTCTTTTGCTTTTTATTTTCTACTTTCTACTGCAGATCGCATTTTGAACCTGATATCCCGCCATAACCATTCGACCCTCGATATTTATGACCATGATCTCCTCCATAATGCAATCCCCACCCAAAAAATTTTCAACATTGAACCACAAACCTGCTACTTAACACCACAAAGTCAACAAACACTAATTCCATGGCAGTTCATCCTACCAAATCAGACGAGTATGGCGTAATATTATTTTTAAAAAATCATGGTGTTGGGTGTGTTTGTGGTTATTTACAATTTGATAATACATTTCGAGGCGGTTTTACAAGGATCAGTCATTTTGATGCCGGATGCCAAAACTAAATCGTCCATAAAAAAATTGTCCAAGGTGTTTTCGGGTTTTTTTAAGGGGGGTACTACATGTATGTACATACCTCCGCACAAAAAAGGCAAAAATCATTTGTTTCGGAGGTATGCCGCGTAATGTTTATAAAAAAATGTTGGTATAAATTATTGAAAACAAGCCAACAGTGAGGCTGATGTTCCCCGCCGAAATCCTCAAATAAATAGACGACACATATTAATTAATCGCACATCTATTTTTATTTCAAAAGTATCAAGCAATCAAACTGATTATCAACTATACACTAAATTTCATCACTCTCTATCAGATAGAATAAAAGTTATCTTGTCCCAAAGCATCGACCAAGGAAATTGCTTATCTCTGCTTAGCTTTAGCTCGATATGTTAATCATTGAACTCAGTCAAGACGAACATCTGCATCAAGTTTAAACATACTACCTCAATTAGAAGCAGAGTTGTTATGTTCCAAAGTCTTGACCAATCAAAATGCTTATTGCTCCTTAGCCTAAACAGAAAATTCTCATCATCGAACTTAGTCAAGGTATTGAAATGAAATGAAACTATACACCAAGTTTCATCACTCTCACTTAATTAGAACTAAAGTTATCGTGTCCCAAAGCATCAACCAATCAAATTGCTTATCTCTACTTACCCTAAGCAGAAAATGCTCATCTTCGAACTCCATCAAGGCATTGACCTAATCTACACGTACACCAAGACATCCCAAACTTAGGCTGCCTATCTACAGCTAGCTCCGACTGAGAACTGGGAAGTATGACGTAGATGGGTCGCTGCGTGCAGTATGACACCAAGATTGAACATTCTAGGTCAATTAGAAGGGGAGTTATTGTTTCCCAAAAAGTGTGACGGACAAACAGACAGAGAGACAGACAGACAGACGAACCCATTTTAATAGTCCCGTGCTTTCTTCGAAAGGCGGGGGACAAAAAAACAGAAGAAACCCGGTGACTTTTCTGGATGTGGGTAGCCTACCTAGTTGTGTGGGCATAGTATTAGAATCAGATTCTGTCAGTTATTATTTTTTCTTTTAAATTAATGAATTAAAAACTTTCGTCAGGGTAACTGGGCCTCGGCAGTTATTCGGGGCCTAGTCCGGGCCTGTATATAGAACGCTACATTGATAGTGAGCGCGTCAGTGTCGCGACCAGTGATCATGCACGCGGTTGTCGACCTCTCTGCGTAGATTGACTGTTATCTGATCATTACAAACGAAACTGAAAGCGAAACTTTTACTTTCGACTTCGTTTCGTTCAATCTGAACGACAAACCCACCCTATATGGCCACAGATCACTAATGATTTCCCCATTGACTGGCTCTAACTTTTTCCCAAATTTTCGTTGGGTGGGACGCTTTCTACCACAGAATATGGAGCAACATGTGGCAACCTCTTGCCCAAAAGCACGCATGAGGTTCTTCATGAACATCTTGAGATACACAAGCTGGAAGTAGATACAAGTAAACATTTCAACCTAACCAACCCCTCAACCCTTTTCTTCGATTCTACACCAAAAAGTCAACAAAAATTGCCATGCAAAAGGGGGAAAAGGAAAAGGGAGAAAAAGACTAAAAATAACTTTGGCCCTTGTGAGCTGTGTCCTAAATATCTGCTCATTTTTTCTTTTTTTTTTTGCAGATATATAGGACACAGCTCACCAAATATTCCCACGCCGTCACCCACCGCCACCTGCCGTCACCCACGAAATAAGGGCTAAAGTTATTTTAGTCTTTCTTTCCCTTTTTCCCCCTTTTGCATGGCGATTTTTGTTTGGTCTCAATTTATTTAGTCATTCAGTTAACCCAGTTCTTTAAATAGTCTTTTTCAACTAGACAAGACACTCCGTATGGCATGTAGTCGTGACTTTCTATCTCATCTTCAGTTTCTATCTTATTTGGAATGAGTAGAAATTGGTAATTTTGATACCATCCTGTTCCCTGGTCACTTTTTCCTAAATATCCATTTTAAATGCATCCGTTTTGTTAAA